TGGCCTCCTGGGCTGGGCAGGTGCGAGGGGCAGCCTGGAAGTGCACTGGGGAGACGAGGGTGCTGGGCCTCCTGTGGACAGGGGGCAGGCAGGGGACACATGAGTGAAGCCCAGCTGATTCCTGTGCCTCTCTTGTAGGAACACCGCAGGGGTGTGGATAACTTGGCCCTGGAACCTTAACACACCGAGCCCCCCAGCCCCTCTGCCCGTGTGTCCTGCTGGGCAACAGGAACAATGCCTTGTTTGTCCAGAACCTGAGTCTGGAGTGTGTTCTGAGCCTCCCGTCAAGGGGTGGGCAGTGTGGGAACTCAGTGCTTTATCCAGATGCCCACCTGCTTCCTCACAGCTTTCAGCCTACACGACGGCCACCAGACCCTGAATCACCAGCAACTGCCCATGGGAGGGGAAGCTGGGGCCCAACTCAGGGGCTGGAACCCCCAGGCAGAACCCTTGTTCCCATCCCACTCAGCCCCGTGGCAGCCCGGAGGACCCCCTCAAAGGTGGTGTGGGGAGGCCAAGGGCTCAGTCACTGGGTACCCCACTCAGGTCCTGAGTATCAGGGATCCCCAGCCTGGTCCTCACTCAGACAGACAGACGCTCCAGGTAAAGTGGGGTGATCTTTATTTCCTAGAGGCCTTGTCAGGGATGCTGAGCAAACGCATTCTAGGACACCGTAGCTCACGGTGGGTGGCTTCTGTCTGCTCCCCTAACTCACAGCTTAGGGTCGCCACCCACTCCTCACCCTCCATGGAGGGGGTGTGCATGGCTACCCTTCACCATCCAAGGTCAGCTCAGCAAGCAGAAAAAGGAGGCGGAAGGAGAGCCCTGGGGTTGGCCCCACCCAGAGTCCAAAGGTTTCCGCCTGCAGGGAGGGAGGGTTTGGAATGTGGGCCACATCTCTGCTCCGCCTTCCTGACCACCCCCCTCCGCAAAATGAAAAGCAAGCCTTCGTCCCTTCTTTTTAGTGATTCCAGTGTTCATTTCCATCTGTGCAAAAATGATGGGCAGGATGGGGTAAAGACGAAAATAAATAGCCCATGCTGCCCGGCTCTGGCCAACACTCCGAGAGGGGATAGCTGAGAGGGACAAGGTGGTCCCTTGTCTGTCCCAGGTGGACAGACTCTTGGGGGTTCTGTTCAGAAAGGCCTGTAGCTCCAGTAGCTGGAGAACACGGAGATCTGGAGAGGGAGAGAGGTGGGGGGACATGGTGAGTGCTGGTGCTAGGGAGCCTCCCTTGCTGTACCTGTGACCCGAGTGAGATTTCAAGGTCATCCAAGGGCAATTTGTCAGGGAGACGGTACTGTTGCTCAGCAACGTCATGGCCCATCTGCTGGGTGTGTGTGGAGGGTACGATGGAGATTTGGGGGTGTTTTGGAGGTATGACCAGAGCCCTTGGGATCCCCCCAAGATGAAAAGGCTTAGCAGCCTGCCACCTGGCTGGCCCAATGTGTCTGAGAGGGAGGCCCACCCTGACCCCACAGTCCCCCGTGGCCCACCTTATCCTTGAGCTGCTGGCAGAGCTGCAGGGAGACTGTGAAGAAGACTAGGGCATCGTTGAGCCATGGGATCACACACTCCACCTTGTGCACATGGCTCACCTCCAGACGCTGGGAGCCCCACTCGCTGTGGGGAGAGGGGAGGGTCTCCCCTGGGTGGGGGGTGCTGACCAGCCTGGCCCCCCAGGCTCCAAGGTGCAAAGGGTTGGGGAGGGCAGGGTGCTCCCCAGCAGCATACTTACAACATGGCCCCAGGGCTGTGGAGCACGGCGCCTCCAGCTGGGCGGAAGTTCTAGGAAAGAAGGGGACCAGACCCGGTCAGGCCCTGGAGGCTGGTCAGGCCCTGGAGGCTGCCAGGCACGTGGGGGCGGGTGGGGTTCCCTCACCTTGGTGGAGTTGGGCTGCAGGGCGTGCAGCTGGTACACGGTGAGACAGAGCTTGTTGAGGTTGATGTACACATTGACTAGTAGGTCAGAGGGCAGGGCAGGGGCGAACATCCGCTGGGGACGAGCACCGGGCAAGCAGGTCGGATGAGGGTCGCGCAGGCGCAGGCCTCCCAGAACCACCTGAGCAACCCCATTCCCCAACCCAGGCACTGGGGCTTCTAGACTTTTCCGAGGTGTCCTGGGTGGCTTTCTGCACCAGGCTTGAGAAGCACTGATGCAGACTAGGAGCATTTGGGGGACGCAGGGTGGAAACCAAGGACCTTGTCCCAGAAAACTGCATAGACAGAGGACTCGGACAGCAGTTCGGGGTTTCCAGGGCCCCTTCACACCCGTGTCCCTCCCAGGGGCAAGCTGGGCTCCTCAGTGGGGATTCCCTCTCCTGGAGCAGGGGCTGGACTAAGGTACTGACCGTGAGGCCACTGGCAGCGATCTCAGGCAGAGTAAGGGTAGCCGGGGTGGTGAGCCGGTTGCGGGCTCTGGTCAGCTGCAGCATCACAGCGTCCATCAGCTGTGGGCAGGGGGCTGGTCAGAGCTGCTTCGAGGGCAGCCCCTGCCCTCCCACATCAGAGCGTGACAAAGTCATGGAAGCTCCCAGCTCCTGCCCTGGGTGCTCACGGTCTCAAGGCCTGAATCCCTTCTGTGTGGGGCTTGTTAAAGGTGCAGGTACTGGGGTTCCAGCTGAGGGTGGGGGTAGGACGTCTGCAGTGGTGACCACCTATCCAGCAGGTTCTACTGCATGGGATCCTGGGTGCTGGTCCAGTGGGGAATGGAACATGGGAGATCCTGAGGGTCAGTCTCAGGGGCATGAGGGCTTTGTGGATGGGGGTACAGGCAATGAAGGAGCTTAGAAGAAGGGGCCTGAATCCAGCTTGGGTGCAAGGAGCCAGGGACGGTGATGGCATGGCTAGGTTCAGGTCTTAGCCTGGGGTACCAGCCCCATTTTCACAGTTGAGGAAAGAGAAGCTCCCAAGTGCTAAGGTCACATGGCTAGTGAACGGTGGAACCATCTGGAACTCATCCTTTTCCTTTGCCATGACTAAAACTCTTGCTTGGACTCCTCAGAGCCCCAACTTCCACTGCTTCCAGATATTGCCATGGGCATGGGGGTGACCTTGCTTCCAGGAAAGGCAAATCTGGGTGGAGGCATGGGGACTACACCCCCTGTCCCCAGGGTGGTCACAGTTCTGGGAGGGACCTCAGGCCATTAGTTGTAAGTTTTCATATGAGGACTCAGAGGTCCAAAGAAGGAAAGTGAATCACCTGAAGACACATAGCAAACCAGGGACAGAGTTTAAGCATGAGTTTGGGGCATATGAGCGCAGCTGATCCCTGCAAACCATGTGGATTCCCTTTGCTAATTGTAAGAGTTCCTCTAGTGCTAGTCATGTGACTACTAGCATCTACTAGTAGTAGCTGAGCACTTCCTGAGCATTTGCTAGAGGCTACTTTACCTGCATCATCACAACTGGTCGTCACTGCAGTGAGTCCCCCCTCTATAGGTGAGGCTATTGAGGCATAGAATGACTAAGAAAGTAACCTGAGGTTGCACAGCTTACAGCGGAGGCCCTAGAATCAGAATCTCAATCTGAGTCTGGAACCTGGGATATAAATCATTTGACTGTAGGTGGACGGACATGTGTGCGTTGAGAGGTGATGGGTGGGCCATCAGCTGCGCCTGAGGATGTGGGGGCAGAATTCTCCAGGGGCCTGGTCAGGGCCAGGGGTAGGGAACCTAGTTCTCCTGTCCCTTCTGGCTGCTCACCTTGAGGACCTCTGCTCCCGTCCTGAACTGGTAGCTTTCATCCCGGTTGGCAAGGAGGTAAATGGCTTGGCTTACATGGTTCCTGGCATCCTGGATCTGAAAACAGTGCCCATCGAGAGGTCAGTGGGCTGGGCCTCAAGAGGAAGAGATGCCAACTTCATCTCTCGGTGGGGAGTTCCTGCCCCAGTCATCACGATGAGGGGCCATTCTCCTTGGAGGGGTGGGGTGGGAACCGCCTGCCTGCCCTCTCCCCACCAGCTCCCAGCTCCGTGTCCTCTGAATGCCAGGTCCTGGCTGGGTGTTGGGCACATAGCAAGACTGTGGCAGGCCTGCTGTCACATAGCTCACCTTCTAAAGGAGGGCAGGTGATCGCAGAGTAAAGGCCTAAGATAAAAAGACTGACTTGCACAAGGAAAGAGGGTGACTCTGCAGGATGGGGGAGGGGGAGCCTCTTTTGATGGATGGAGGTCAAGGGAGGCCCCAGGGAAGTGATTCTTGAGGATCACCCAAATGACAAGAAAAGCAGAGAGCCGAGCATGGGCAAAGGCCCTGAGATGGAGACCAGCTGGTGTCCAGTGAGAGGGGAAGGGGCTTGGATCAACCAATCACACAGGAGCTTGTAGGGAACATGGACTCTGTCTCCAGGAGCCATCAGAAGCCCCCTGGAGGCTCTGGGAAGGGGAGTTCCTGGCTCCAGAGGACCCCAGTGGTTCCTGCTGGGGCCCAGGGGCCTACAGACAGGTTTTCCACCTCCTTCAAGGCTAGGCTCTGGAGCCCCAGGAACTGCCTGCCCCAGCTCTGCTACTAGGAAACACCCTTCCAGGCTTGCTCCGGCTTCAAATCCCCATGGCCAGCCTGGAGCCCTCAGTGCCTCTCAGGCCTGCCCCTGCCTGCCCTTGTGGCCTGAGCCCCAGTAGGGGAAGGGCCCAACTACCTGCTGCAGCTTCCACTGCTTGTCTTCTCGGAAGGCGAAGTGCAGCAGCTGGTTGTTCCGGGGTATCTTCAGGTTCACATCCTGACGGGCAAGAGTGGATAAGCAGAAGGATGACACCCTCCTGCTTTTGGCCACCCTGAGCCCTTAAGCAGGGGGCCAGAAATGGGGTGTGTGGGGTGGTTCGGGCCCCTGTCATTCCACAGGGCAGAAGGTCTCCCAGCACAGTGGCCATTTGGAGTGTGAACAAGGAGGTCAGGAAACAGGAACTCGGGCCCAAGAGGAACCACAAAGAAATGAAAGGGAAAACAGAAAGGGGAAGGTGGCCTCAGCCAGGAGGAGCTGTGACTGTGGGCAAAAGGGAACACAGGTATAGGCCAATGGACTGAGCACCCACCCACTACTGGAGGAGAGGCACCTTCCCCCACATCTTGGTGCCTGGCACCAACGGAGCTCAGATGCTGGCCGATTTCACTTTGAATTGGGGCCAGCTTAATCCCGCTGCTGCCCACGCTTCACTGGGCCCAGACTCAGGGCTGGGCCGTGTGCAAACATCTCCCTTCGGCACCTCACACAGAAGCCACATGCCAATTCCATGAGGAGGCTGCTGGGGGGTGGGGGGAGTATTTTACAAGGGAGAAAACTGAGGCCCAGAGAGGTCAAGGATCCTGCCCAGGGTCACACAGCCAACTGGTGGCAGAGCCAGCAGGAGGCTCCCATACTCTTTCCCGCTGGATCCTCCAGCAACAGAGAAAGGGGAGAGGGGCTGGGGGACTCACCGCCTGGCTCAGCGCGTCCCCTTGCAGAGTGAGCACGCCTTTCACCTGGTCTGTGCTGCAACACGTGGGGGTCAGAGCAGTGCCTGTGGCTGCCCTCTCCCACCACCTTGCCCTCCCGGCAGCTTGCCCCTCGCTGTCCCAGGATGGCCTACTGGGCCTTGGCTGTGCAGCCTCTCCTGGAGGGATCCCAGGTGTCCCCCTCACAAGCAGCTTCATCGCCCTCATTTCTGCTCAGCCCCCGCTCACCTACAGCTGCCAAGGATGAAGTTCTCCTGCTTGGCAGGACCCTCCGTGCCGGTGCCAGAGCAGGGCAGAGTGAAGCGGAGAGAGGCCTCCTGGAAGGGCAAAGGGGATTAGGGTAAAGTTCATCCAATCCAGTTCAACGGTCTTTCCAGAAGCCCCATTTCCTAGGTTGGCCAGGGGAGGGTCAAGTGGGTTGGTCTCACCGGAGCACCTTATCCAAGCCTCCAGGGCACCTTCCCATTTCTCAGGCCTTTCCGCCCTCACCTGGGTTTCAGGTCCTACCAGAGTGGATGGATAGCTGTTCCTTCCACATTCCCCAGAAACCTGCCTCAAGCCCAACTCCAGGATATAGAACAGAGAGATGGCCTCCTGGCTTGGTTAAGATGCTTGGGTTGGAGGGTATTATGCTAAGTGAAATTAGTCAGAGAAAGACAAATATCATATGACTTCACTCATATGAGGACTTTAAGAGACAAAACAGATAAACATAAGGGAAGGAAAACAAAACTAATATAAAAACAGGGAGGGGGACAAAGCATAAGAGACTCATAAATATGTAGAATAAACAGAGGGTTACTGGAGGGGTTGTGGGAGGGGGGATGGGCTAAATGGGTAAGGGGCATTAAGGAATCTACTCCTGAAATTATTGTTGCACTATATGCTAACTTGGATGTAAATTTAAAAAAAAAGGGGAAAAAAAAAAAAGACGCTTGGGTGTGGGGACAGAGTCAGAAAATGTTAGTAGTCATGACAACTCACAATTTCTGCCCTACCAGGCAATGTCTGGACATTTCTGTGAGTGGACTTATTTCACAATAGCCCTGTGAGGCGGGTACTGCAATCTTTTTGCGAAAGGGAGCCCCCCAGATGTTGAGTATGATGCTGGAGACCTTGAGATAACAGCTTCAGTGGAAGCCTTCCTTGACCCCGACTCCCTGCCCGGGAGCTCATTCCACGCCCAACGCACTGCGCTCACACAGCTGCCTGTGATTAAGTGGACAATCATGTGTTGGTACCCCGACTGGACTCCCAGTCCTCCGAGGCAGGGCCTGGTCTGCACACCGCGCATCCCGCCCACAGCAGGCGCTCGGGAGGCAGGGGCATCGGCCCGGGAAAGAGCCGCTGCTGGGCCGGCCCGCCAGGCGCCTTACCTTGAGGATGTCTTGCAGCTGCCTGAGGACGGCGTGCACCTCGTCGTGCAGCAGCCAGCGGAACTCCTCCTCCTGAGGGCACAGGCCGACTGTCAGCCTCCCGGGCCCACCGCCCCCGGCTCCACCCTGCCCTGGCCGCGCGCCTCACCAACACCGCTCGCTCCGCCGCCGTCGCTGCCATCGCGGTCGCCATCGCCGCCGCTCGCCGCCCAGCGACCGTCAGGCACCCGCCGTCAGCTCGAGGCTCGGTGCACCGGCCGTCAGTGCGCTAGCAGCACCCGGGCCCACCCCCGCTGCCGATTGGCGGCACGCGCGTCCGCCCCGCCCCCGGACCGCCTCTCCCGCCGCCGACCGGCCGAGCCGCGCTCCGAATCGAGGCTGGCGGCTGCGCGAACCCGCCTGCTCCGGCTCTCCCAGGCTGCCGCTGGCACCCACCGCGAGCGCTCTGCGCTCGGGCGCCGTGTCCACCGCCTTCTGCCGCTGGAGCTCTTCGGCCGCTTGCCCCGCCCCTCCCCGGCCCTGATAGGGCGCCCTGCTCCGCTTGCGCACATTGATTGGCCAGAGGGATGGTTTGCTCTCGCCGCGCCCGGCGATTGGCCGGCGTGGCAGCCTGTTCCTGCTCTGCCTCGCCCTCCTCCCGCGGAGGTCGCGAGTTCCGTTGGTCCAGGAGGAACCAGCCGGATGACCAAGCAGTCCCGGCGCAGTCCCGGCGCAGTCCCGGCGCGAGGGCTGCGGGGCCGTTCTTGCGCTCCCGGCCCTCCTCCCTCCACCACACAGCGCTCTGGGTCTGGGCACAGGCCACTGCCGAGGTAATCAGTCACAGTTGTGTTACCAAGAAACGTTTTATTTTGCTTGCAGTAGCTTTTTTTGTTAATTGCACAAAATCATGTTTTGTTTTTGCCATTTAAACATCACACAATCCTATTCTGAAAGACAAACGCTCATTAAAAACAAAGCAAAAATAAAAATTCACAACCTTAATTACCTAGAAGATTTGTCATTTAAAGTAGGTTTAAAGGGGAAAAAAAAGGGATGGTGGAAGAGGGGCTTTCTTACAAGCTTTTTCACAAGTGTCACATTTTCTTCTAAAAGGGAAGGATTTCAAAACAAAGGTGAAATAGCTTAAACAGAAATAGTCATAAAAAGAAACTTTACAGAATTGTCAACAATATTAAGACAACATTGACTAACCAGTTTCATTACAGCATCTTCCCCCACCCCCACCCTCCCACCCCCAACCCCGAGTGTCCGGCTAGGACTAGAACAGGCTTTGTGTTCAGACAGAAAAGAATTCCAAATCCCAGTGAAATTATGCCAAAAACCCGCAGGCATCTTCCCTGCCCTCCCCCCTATGTCTTCTGAGATCCCCTAGCCTGGGTTCTATCAGTGGAAAAGGGCCAAATTTGTGAGGGGGAGGGGCCCACACCAGTGTGGTCTCCTCATTATACATATTCACTAGAAATGCTGACCTGCAAAGTATAACTTTGGAAAATTCAACCCATATAGAGGGAGAGAACATGGACATCCTTTGGGTGACTTCTCCTTGTTTTTACACCACATCGTAAGTCCCTCTGGTCCCCTATCCAAGGAGAAACGTTAGGATCTCAAAGATGTCTTAGATCTACCTCTTTGGGTCAGTTAGTTCAGGTTGGGTCAGGTTCAGTTCTCTTCCCTCCCAAAAGACCCTGGGGCCCTGGAACCATTGAAGGCTATGCTTCTGGCTGAAGTGAAGACACCCGATCCTGTTTCAAGAGCTGAGCCTAAGAAATGGCCATCGTTGGTCAGGCTGGGTTTGGGCCAAAGAAGGGACAGAAACACTGTCTCCATGGGAAGAAGAGGAGGAAGGGAGAATGAAAAGGTAGGCAGGTGGGGAACATGTGCAGGAGCAGGTTGGAGAGGATGGGACTGCTGTGAGGGGACCCAGTCAGAGTGGCTCCAGGTGGAGTCTGCAGCATAACGGAAACAGGAAGGAACCCCACTCTCCTCCCTCTTTGCTCCTCCCTGGTGGCCCTCAGGATCCCCTTCCCAAGGGCTGGAATGCAAATCCAAATACTAAGAGCCTGGTGAGGAGTGAGCTCCCCCTACACCAAAGTGAGGAAGTCTGATCCCAGCCCAGGGCTCTGCAGTGATGGTGACTTCTGGGACAGGTGCTCAAGAGCGGCGAGGAGAGCAGGCTTCTGTGAGGCTCACCTAACGTGCTGGCGATTTGCTGCTCTCCCTGGAGAGCCAGAGCCCTGTGTTCGCTCAACTTTGCCAATCTCTTTTCAGTTCACAAAGGCATTTACGGAGAGTTGGTTGCACATTGGTAGCTTAAATATGACAATCCTCATCAGCTGGTCACCTGAGGTTGGAGGGCCCATGGGGACCCTCTGTTTGGAGTCGGTGCTGGCTCATCTTGACCCAGAGCCTCTCTCTCACATGGGGGATCCAGTGGGGGGACGTGGACGTAACCACAGCCTCTTTGCTCTGAGGGACGGCAGCAGTGGGAAGGCTTCCAGTTCTCACTGCTGATTCTAGTTCCTCTACTGGAAAGGGTCTGAGATAAGACAAGCTCAGGAGGAAAAAAAAGCCAGGCAGCAGTTTCTGGGCAGCTTCTATCCTGGGGCGAGAGCCAGTGTGTGGTGTGTAGGGTGTGTGTGTGTGTGTGTGTGTGTGTGAACACACAGCCACCTAGTCCGGGGCCTGTGCCCAGCTCAAGAGCTTTCCCAAAGGCCAATCCTGCTGACACCCCTCCCCTCCCCAGGACCTCCAGGGGAGGGGTGACGCTGTGTGCTGTGCTGATGGCAAGTCTCAAAGTCTGTAGAAAAGGAGATGGAGACAGGTGGACTGGTCCAGAGCTAAGTCCCAGGACCCCAACCCCATGTGAGGAGGAGGGGCCAGAGGGAAGACTTGGGGGGCAGGGATGGGGTATCGAGGGCTTAGTGTATATAGGCTCGGTACACGGCAGACATGTCGTTGTCAGACTGGTCCAGTGCCTTGGCTCTTTTGTACACCTGGGAAAAAAAAGGAGATAGGCTCATACTCTGTCCACAGAGCTGACTTAAAAACACAATCTGCTTCCTGGAGGCGGTTCTAGATGTGGTCAGGCAGGCAGGCGGCAGGCAGCCTTTGGAGTCCAGGCTATCTAGGTACAACTCCTGGCCAACCCCCACACTGATTTTTTTTTTTTTTAAATAAAAAAATGTTTATTTTTGAGAGACAGTGTAAGCAGGGGAGGGGCAGAGAGAGGGGGACAGAGGATCTGAAGGGTGCTCTGTGTGGACAGCAGAGAGCCCGATGCGGGGCTAGAGTTCACGAGCCGTGAGATCAGGACTTGCGCTAAAGCTGGGCGCTTAAACGACTGAGCCACACAGGCCCCCCACTGATCTTGAGCCAGGTGCCTCAGTGTTTCTTTGCCGTCACCACTACTACTTGAGGTCATGGAGGTGACAAGGTTATCATGAGGTTTAAAGGGACTGAGGAGGTAAAGTGCTTAGAGCATTGTTGGCAATTATAATCACATCCCTTCCTACCTCCAGGGTCTTCCTGTGTTATGCTCTGGGCTGCTATCCTTGTCCTTCCCTCTGTGTGGGATGCTTTTCCCTCAGCACAGCTGGCCCCTTCCCAGTCAGCTCCGAGGCCTCTCCCGAGCAGCCTATCTAAGACAGCAGCTGCACCGCTTCACTCACTCTGCTGTATTTTACTCATACTTCTGACCTTTACAGACTCTTGTTCAAATATTTATCTGCCTGTCTTGTGCCTCTTTCCATTAAAATGTAAGCGCCACAAGGGAAGGAACGGGCTGCTCCTGAACACGTCCCCAGAACCTAGAATAGTGCCTGGCAATCAACAGCCACTCCAGAGACACTAGGTGAATATTATGAACGAGTGTGAAGAGAATTAAAAAGCCATTCGACAAAGGCAGTATGGCATCCAGGCACACTGAAGAAATGCAGTTGAACACAAGGTTCCCCCATACAAGCTGCATTTTTGTCTTTTTTCAAACACAGTCCAGCTGAAGCCACTATAGTTGAGTGTCCATTACAGCTCAGGTGTAGCTGTCAACTCAACACGAAGGCTCCATAAGACCTTTTCAGATACAAGAAAACCAATCATTGCCAGCAGACCTGCACTACAGGGAATGCTAAAGCAAGTTCTTCCAGCTGAAAGGAAACAATCCCAGGGAGAAATTCAATTCTTTAGAAAAGAATGAAGAGCCCTGGAAATGGTAAATAAGAGAAATATACAATTATTTTCTCTCTTCGTTAAAATAAAATACATAAGACTACTTAAAACATTCCAACGTTGGGGCGCCTGGGTGGCGCAGTCGGTTAAGCGTCTGACTTCAGCCAGGTCACGATCTCGCGGTCCGTGAGTTCGAGCCCCGCGTCAGGCTCTGGGCTGATGGCTCAGAGCCTGGAGCCTGTTTCCGATTCTGTGTCTCCCTCTCTCTCTGCCCCTCCCCCGTTCATCTGTCTCTCTCTGTCCCAAAAATAAATAAACGTTGAAAAAAAAAAAAAAAAAAAAAAAAAAAAAACAAAAAAAAAAAACCCCAAAAACATTCCAACGTTGACCCTATGTTTAAAACAAAGGCAGATGTAACCCAGAGGACATCTGTACCCTAAAGCAGGGGTTCTCAACCAGGGATTATTTTGCCCCCACTGGACATTTGGCAACGTCTGCAGACATTGTGTCAACTGAGGGGGTGTTGCTGGCCTCTAGTGGGTATAGGACAGGGATGCTGCTAAACATCCTGTAAGCACAGGATGGCTCCCACAGCAAAATGTCATCGTACCCAGGTTGAGAAACCCTGCCTTAAAGGAGGAGGTGGAGGGGGAGGGAAATGGAAATGTATCTATGTTTTATGTGAAGAGGTACAAGATTAACTCTAAGTAGACCGTGAAGTTTAAGGATATTGCATATTCTTGCATACTGATATCCCTAGAACAAAGATAAAACAGAAACAATGCGTCATTAAGAAGACAGTAGGTAAAATGGAATTCTAAAAAATATTCAAATAATCCAAAAGGCAGTAAAATAGGAAGGACAGTTAAAAGCCAGAAGAGACAAGCAGCAATCAAATGATAAAACGGTAGCTCCAAATCTGACCATACCTTAACAGACTTTAAGAAAAGGACTAAATGTTACTGGCCTAGTTAACTTTAAGATCCTGAACAGTAAGCACCGGTGAGGAGCCTAAATTCACACCATCCAAATGGCCAGATAGCACCACGTTCCATTGAGAAATTAACTAAAATATTTGTTTTCAAGCCAACAAATCCTGTAGACTCAGGGCAGAGGCAAGTCAGAAATCACCTCACAGAGAAACCTGCCAACACAAACCACACATAGAACCCTTCAGAACTGACTTCAGTTAAAGACAAGCTTGTTGACAAAAAAAATTATACAAAATACAAAAATAAGTCCGCTGCTAAGAGAGAATCCAAGGTAAAACAAACATGAGTAACCTGAAATTGTACTGCAACCTGAAAAAGTGAAGTAAGTACTCTGGCATGTTCAGGCAGACAAGGAAGGGACAGAAAACACAGAATTCAGGGACAGAAGATTACAGATTATGAAAAGGTAGGTCTGAAAAGAGCAGAACCGTGTTTCTTTTTTCCTTTTTTTTAATGTTTATTTATTTTTGACAGAGAGAGAGAATGAGAGAAAGAGAGAGAAACAGAGCATGAGCGGGGGAGGGGCAGAGAGAGAGGGAGACACAGAATCCAAAGCAGGCTCCAGGCTCCGAGCGGTCAGCACAGAGCCTGACACGGGGCTTGAACTCACAGACCGTGAGATCATGACCTGAGCTGAAGTTGGACGCTCAACTGACTGAGCCACCCAGGCGCCCCAGAACCGTGTTTCTTTACTTCTTCGCTGGTACAAGACACTGGAGACTTCTATTTAACTTGAGTGATGCATATCCTTTTTTTAGCACTTGGAAGATACAGCTTCTAAAATAAATGAATTTATGTGTTTTACACAAAATGTAGAGTTTTGTTTTTTGTTTTTTTACATGTTTGTTTATTTTTGAGAGAGCACATGTGCTTGGGGAAGGGGCAGAGACAGAGGGAGACAGAGGATCCGGAGCAGGATCTGAGCTGTCAGCAGAGAGACCAACGTGGGGCTTGCACTCACAAAGTGGGAGATCATGACCTGACCTGAGCCAAGTCAGATGCTTAACCAACTGAACTACCTGGCGCCCTACAAATGTAGTTTTTATTGTAACTCTACAGTAAAGAAATAGTGCTCAGCTTTTTTAAGGCTACACTTCTAAACAACTTTTCAAAAAGTGCATGTGTAGGTGCTTAATAAAGTTGTCATTCAAAAAAAGGTAAATGACCAAACACCCCAATTAATAGGCAGAATCTTTCAGAATGGGTAAAAATCCAAGCTCCAATGACAGGCTGTATACAAAAGATACAGTATAAAAACACAAACTGAAAGCAAATGAATGGAAAAAAATATACAATGGGGCACGTGGGTGGCTCAGTTTGGTTAAGTGTTTGACTCTTGATTTCAGCTCAGGTCATATTTAATGATTCGTGAGTTTAAGGCTCACATTGGGCTCTGCGCTGACAGAGTGGAGCCTGTTTGGGATTCTCTGTCTCCCTCTCTCTCTGCCCCTCCCCTGGCTCACACTCACTCTCTCTCTCTCTCTCTCTCTCTCTCAAAAATAAATAAATATTAAAACAAATATAAAAACAATAGCACCTATAGTAAAACTGGGCAATAGGCTTCAAGACAAAGACCGGAAAGCGACATTTTATAAAAACAGAAGGGCAAACTCATAAGGAAGATGTGGCCATCATAAATGCTAAGAGTTTCAAAATTACAGGAGTTTCAAAGATAATAGACAAAATCAAAGGGAAAAACAGACAATCCCACAATCACAGTTAGAGATTTTAAGATCTTTCAGCAACTGAAAGAACCAGAGAAAAAGGCCAGTAAATGTGATCCGAAAAAACTACCAACCTCAATCTAACTGGTATCTGCAGGACATAGTCCTCTTAAGTGCACACAGCACACCCAAAGACAGACCATCTGCTGGGCCACAAAACAAGTCTGATTAAATTTAAAGAACCAAAATCCATACAGGATGTGTTTTTTAACCACAACAGAGACATATTAGTAATCAATAATCATTAGATATGTAGGACAACTCCAATTATATGATACACTTTTGAATAATCCACAGGTCGAAGAAATCACATGGGAAGTAGGCATGGCTAAGAGGGAAGTGTACAGTTTTACATGCTCCTGTCTAGAAACAATGACCTGAGATTCCACCCCAAGAGATGAGACACAAAGCAAAATAAAGATGGGCAGGGGGTGGGGTGGGGTGGGGTGGGTAGCGAATAGTAAAGACAAAAGGAAGATGGCCAGGGTTGTGTTTCGCCTCTGGCAGGTACCTCGTTGGCTGCAGCTGCCATAGGAGTAGGATGGTTGACCGCATCACCCAAGGCAATGGCTAAGCGGAGATCCTTCTGGATGTACTTCAGGTAGAAATCAGGCTTAAAGTTTCCTTGCAGGATATCTGAGGAAGGAAAGCCACTTATCAGGCAAATTGAATAAACTCTAACTAAGAAACTATCTGTAGTACTGTAAGGCCTCAACACCTGGCATTTCTTCCCTCTTGGACACTGAAGAGACAAGTTCCCAGCCAGTACCCCCAAATCCCACCTGCCAGGTCTCTGGACCCCCTCTGACCAAGGGCATGGAATGAATGAAGAGAGTGCGTCTTTCACACCCAATGAGCCCTTGAAGAAGAGACTCCTCTGTGAGAGCTGCCTGACTCAGTTTCTCAGCTCCTATCAGAACTAAAATGCAAGAGAGGCCAAAGGCAACTCACTTTGGCACTTCTGGTCCAGGAAGATGCTGGCCAACTGTCCCTGATTGAGGATGTCCAAGAGTGTCTGCTGGGACTGGCCTGTCACTTGGGCCAGGGTCAAGCCCTCAGCGATGGTGGCCATGAAGCTTCCCTGGACCATGTTCACGATCAGCATCATCTTGGCTGCGTTGCCAACCTCACCTGGCCAGGGTAGAGAATGACGGTCACTTCTCAAGAATCTGAGGGCAGGGACTTTCTGCCCACCCTCATCCCTGCTCGGACCCACCTCTACACCCAGGGGAGGCCCCATTCACCTGCCCCTGACAGAACTGGCTCTGACCCTTCGGGCTCTTCCTCCTTCCAGGCACTGACTGTGCAAGTCAAAGGAAACCTTCCCACGGGGGCCCCAGGCAGAGAGGCCGTGCGGGAGTGACGCTGTCATCAGTGCAGTCTAGAGGGGATGTGGCCCACCCAGCCTCCGGGCCTGCAGTGGCCCGACGGGTGGGCAGGCATGTTACCTAGAAAGAAGGAGGTCTTCCCCATTGCCTGGAAGCAGCTGCTGCAGTCCTCATACAAGCCCCTGTCTCCTGCTGCTAAGATCACCAACATCCCGTCATTAGACAGCTGCTGATTCCCTGAGACCGGGGCTTCCAGAAAGCGGCCCCCCCTGGACACAATCACCTGGAAAGGAAAGTCATAGCTTCTGAAGGCCTTGTGCCTCACTGGGGTTTCAAGTGGGAACACCTGGCCCTCCACACCGAGGCCCTAGACAGATGCCTGAATCATACGTAGCATGCAGCTAAGCTGAGGTCTCCCCACCTGCTCCCATTTACTTGCAATTTCTTACAAAGACCAAACATGACCATGCTCATGGCTTGGCCGACCATACCTCCTCCAGACACTTCCCTTCTCTGACTTCAGCCACCCTCAGGGCACAGAGGGGCCAGAAGTCACCACTTGGCCCAGCAGCTTAGTGGAAAGAATACTGCTAGGATCAAATGTGGATAGCTGCTTAAACCAAAAAGGCCCTGCCAGCTGCCTGGAATGCTTCTCACTGTGGGGCTCACAGCTCTGGGACCTAATGCCCATCCCAGCTGGGCAACACCTCTCCTCTCATGGCTATTCAGACTAGCTGTGGCTTTGAAAGTAAAGAGCGAAGACAACCTAGTCCCAGGGCTACAGGCCTTTCTTTCTCTCCCTGCTTTTGTCTTTAGAGTAACCAAGTTGCCCACTCAGGAGTGATCAGTTAGTCTTGGGCTCTAACCACAAGGATGTTGGAAGGCCACCACAAACGAGGCTGCTACCTGGGCCAGCTCAGTGACTGTGTCAGCATCCACTGTTGACATGTCCACATAGCACTTCCCAGGGCGGATCCCTTGCAGTACACCACTGGGGCCCAGCACCAGCTGTGGAGACACAAGGGAGAAGCAATAGCCCAGGCTCTTGGCCAGATGCCCAGGAGCCCCTTAGACCTCAGGTTAGAATTCTGTTGCTTTTTTGGCTCACTTACTGATTAGGAACTGAATATTAAGGCTGAAAAGGGGGAAAGCAAGTGAAATAAGCGTAGGAATGAAAAATACCTCTAGTACATTCCTAACAATCTTGTAAAAGGGTTTATGTGCTCCTTTTTATTAAAAACCTCCCATTTAAATGATAACCTCAGTATTTTCTTGGGTTTCACTGGATTTACCCGGATTAAACTAGTCACCAGTTTAACAAGATGACTACTGTACTTGAAATGTGAAAACATACAAATAGACCCACAGCTAAACAGAGGATCTGGGCACGTGGACGCAATACGAATACACAGGGCTCGTCAGCACAGATCTCAGGGACCCTCGTTTTTATTCTTTGTTCTGAATCAAAGGAAGTCTGTACTCAATTTACAAAAATATTTTTCACAATGGGGGATGGCCCCAGATGGGAAATTCAACTCCCCCACATGCTGTAGACACTCACTCATGGGCAGGGGAGATGGGGTGGGGGAGAGGGAGGCCAGACAGTTTTCCTGGCCACAACATGATGGGAGAAGAGGGGATCCTTACGTCCTTGGCTGCCTTGGGATCTGACACGCAGGCGAAGGTGATGTCACAAGTTGAAACGACTTCAGCGGGGGTTCTTCCTAGGCGGGCCCCCTCCTGGATGAACAAATCACACTGCAAAAGTCACAGATCCTAATGTGAGCTACAGGCAGTGCACAACCAATACAACAACCAGGCCAGAGACACCCTGCCCAGTCCTCCTGGCTGGCCTCTCAAGGCAGGAGGCTGAGGCTAGGAGCTGGGGACACCGGAGTGGTGGTCCAGCTTTTTGAAGGAAGTAGATTGGGCCCCTTAAGGACCGTCTCATATTTTTGCATAACTGGTGCCTAGAACGAAGTTCTACTTCATAGTAGGCACAAAACAAGTGTCTGCTAAAGGTTTCCTGTTTGAAGAACAGGATGTAAATAGCACCTGTCCGCAACCCTCTGTGGCTGTCTTGGCTGTGGCAAAACCTGCCCAGTGTCCTGGGCTACTCACACTGTGCTGGGGAAGCAGGTCTGGGGCTGGGAGGCTGCCATTCCTTACCGAGATGTTCCTGGGTGTCTAAAAGCTTTAACTTTTCTTCCTTGAGAATTAAAATTACCCACCTCATAACAAAACATTATCAATATTTCAGCTTTTTCCTTTTCCAAAATCATTTAAATAAATAATTAGAATAACGTGAACCTATTTTGTAACCAACTTTTAATATCGTGTGTGATTTACATTTATCCACATTACAGTCTTTCTTAATTATTGTTTATAATGGATGGCTGCAGAATATCCCATTGAGACACACCTGAATTTACCTAATGGCTCTCCCGAAGTTCAATATCAAACCTGCTTTTAATTATAAATGACTCCAGGGGTGCCTGTGTGGCTCAATTGATCAAGCATCCGATTTTTTATTTCAGCTCAGGTCATGATTTCACCATCGTGAGACTGAGCCCCGGATTGGGCTCAGTGGGAAGTATGGAGTCTGCCTGGGATTCTCTTTCCCTCTCTCCCCTGCTCATTCTCTTTCAAAATAAACAAACTTAAAAAAAAAAAGTGACTCCAACTAATATCTTTATGTACAATTCTTTTCCTTTATGTTTTGAATCTAGGTCCCTGAAAGTAGAATAAACAGGTTCCAAATGGTGTTCAAGTTCTTAATAAATGTAGACAAATAGCTTTCCAGTGGAGCCATGTTAATTTATAATGATCACTGGCAAGGTATCAAATTACCAGCACTGAGTACATCATTTAAAAACAACAAACAAGCATCCGTAAATGCATAAAAACTCTGCCCTACTTGATGATTTAACCAGCCAAACCCAGTAACTTTTTGTTTGATATGTATTTTGATTATTCTTGATTATTGAACCTTTTACATATTTTTTAATTTCATAAAAATTTTTTTAAGTAGGCTCCATGCCCAATGTGGGGCTTGAACTCATGAAGATGAGATCAAGAGTCACAGGCCCCACCAACTGAGCCAGGCAGGTGCTCCAATTACTGAACCTTTTAAATTTAATATCTTCGTTTATTGTTTCTTTTGTAAGCTATTGTGTGTGTTGAGTTATCATATTTGCTATAAGCACGTTTGGTTGATGTACACTTTAGTCTATTTTCAATTTATTTTAGCACGTGGTAGGAGGTGAGAGTAGCATTTCCCCAAACTTGCAATCAGTTGTCCTGAACAGAACTTACTGACTGACCTTTCTCCTATCTCACTGATTCCTACAGAGTCACCTCTATCAGTTGCAGCCCCAGCTGTCCAGCCTACCTGATGGGTGTGCTTCTTTATCACGGTACACAACAACTCAGCCTTTTAGTATATCGCTTTATGTTTTAAACTTTGCTTGAAAGAGATCTCATTACTTTCTTTTCTGAAAATGTGTTTTCCATTAGCTATTCCAGAAGAACCAGAGAGTAATTTTTTTTTTTTTTTTTTTTTTTTGCCAAGATAGTTTAAAACAATTCTACAGGGATGGTCAAAAATTAGATGGCTTTCTAAAAATGTTTGTTTATTTATTTGAGAGACAGAGACTGCCCATGTGAGCTGGGGAGGGGAAGGGAAAAAAGGAGAGAGAGAATCCCAAGTAGGTTCTGCGCTCTGCGCTATCAGTGCAGAGCCCAATGTGGGGCTCAAACTCACAAACCATGAGATCATGACCTGAGCCAAGAGAGCCAGACGCTTAACCGACTCAGTCACCCCAAAGAATGAGACAAGTTTTTATTTTTTTTTCAACATTTTTTTTTTTTAATTTTTTTTTTATTTTTGGGACAGAGAGAGACAGAGCATGAACGGGGGAGGGGCAGAGAGAGAGGGAGACACAGAATCGGAAACAGGCTCCAGGCTCTGAGCCATCAGCCCAGAGCCTGACGCGGGGCTCGAACTCACGGACCGCAAGATCGTGACCTGGCTGAAGTTGGACGCTTAACCGACTGCGCCACCCAGGCGCCCCAAGAGACAAGTTTTTAAAGATGACATTTACTACTTAACTTGTGCCAAGCATGGTGCTGAGTACTTTACATCATCTCATTTAATCTTTTGCACAGATGAGAATTCTGAGACTTAGGGAGATAAACAGCGTTGCTAAAAACGGTGAGCAGGATGGCTGTAACTTGAATTTAGGTCTGTCTGATTCCACACCAGATTCCTAACTGCTATGCTCTACTGCTTTCCCATAAATTAATCTGGAAAGAATGGCCATGTTTACATAACATTTAGGTTTTCCAATCAAGATACAGGATGACAAGAGGCACTTCTATCAAAGGGGAAGGCACTTATAAGGAAAACCCTGACTCTCCCAACTTCTGCAACTGTGCATCTAACATTTCCTGGTTACCCTTGCCTCGAATCACAACAAATACTGCCGATGGGACCTGATCACTCTCCTGACTTGGGTCCCCACAGCCCCTACCCAATGCCCAGCAGCTGAAGCCCAAATCCTTCAGTAAGGCTTTCAGGGCCTTCAGTGCCCTTTCCCCCACAGACCCTTTGACTCTCCAACCAGTTCCTTTTATCCTTGAAAAGGCATTTGTTTCATTAGAGTGATTTTTTTTTTTTTACCTTGCCAAGAACATTGCTGTTAATTCTAATCCATTAGGCCTGCCACCTCCTTCAGCAACCACCCTCCTACCACAGCTGCACCTAGCTGCACATGGGGTGCTCATCCAGTCACTTTGTAAACACATGTTCAGCCACAGAGGCTCCCAATGGGCTGGTCCTTCCTCAGTCTCTTCCTGTGTTCCTGGTGAGTACAGGGCTTTAGTTTCTTGTACTCAGACTACTGTTCTTCACCTTTTCTTGGATAAGAACTTGATGGGAGAAGCCATGGCTTCTCTCCAGTGCAGAGGTGCACATTCAGACCTGGAGTTCCATTTCAGGGCATGCACAGACCCTTGAAGTGGTGGACCACCACCCTAGGTTAAGAACTTCTAAACCTGTCCTGCTTACTTTGGTTGCCGTTAGCCATGGTGGGGGACTATTACATTTAAGTGATGTAAAATTAAAATTTCAATTCTTAAGTCGTACTAGCCATTGATTCAAGTGCTGAAGAGCCACATGTGTGAATAGTGGGTGTCATACTGGACAAATCCTGGACATCTCCATCACTGCAGAATGCTCTACTGCAAGGTGCTGTTAGTACAATCCCAACGACACAATACAGTGCAGCCATGCAAAAGGAAGAAATAAATCTATCTCTACACACTCGGTATCAAAGAATTACTAACACACTCACATGTATTTGCACGTGCATGAACAAAAGGATAAAAACACCTGATGTGAGCTACCTCAGCTAATGGCAAGGAAGGGAGAATTTCACTTCTTTTTATAGGCCTGTATGTTTTTAAGTGTTTACTTTTTATAAACAGCATCCTAAGCTTACATCCTTTTATAAATAACATCCTAAGCTTCTGTACCTCCATCTTTACTTGCCTGAACTATAGAGCTTGGCTCTATACTTGGCTACTCTACACATGCAAAATGCTGAGCGGAGACAATAGGAAGATTCCTATCCTCAGTTACTAGTTACTCCAACTCCAAGGGTCAAGGGTTTGTCCCACCCCGTCTGACAAGCACCACCACGAATGCTTACTTTCTCTGCAGTCCGGTTCCAGACGGTTACTGTGTGACCCATTTTTAGCAAGTTGGAGACGATGCCACTTCCCATGAGGCCAAGGCCCAAAAATCCTATCCTGAAAAAGAGAGACACTGATCGGTTCAGGGTGGAGTGGGACCGTGGTCACCAGAAACCACTCAGCGGCTGGCAGCACCACAGCAGAGCCGGAAGCAGTGTGTGTATGTTGTGCCTTTTCTTACCCTGCCATTGTTTAAAAGTGTCCCTCAATTGAAATGGGCTTTTCTAGACCTTTGCCTGCCACAGAAAGAGGTGTGCCTCTCATATGGTTTAGGGCAAGTCTCCCAAATTGTTTCCTTACTGCTGTGATAGACGGTCTGAGCTTTGAATTCCGTTAGAGCAAGAAAGCAGGCTTCTGTCTTCGGCTCTTGCAACAGCTTCCCGATCGACCCCTCTAAATGCCTGGCTTTCAGATGCCACTTTAAAGCACATCAGCAAACTTCTTCAACTGTAGGAATCAGGATCAGTCTTCATCTCCCTGTCCAGCTCTACTTCTGACACTACACTTGTGTTCTTCCCGCTACCAGCAGAGACGGGTCTTGACCCTCTTCAAAGCTTCCTTTGGAGCCAATCTTTTCCAGAGCACGAATTCTTCCTATGCCTGCCTTCTCCTGACCCCGTCATGGCTTTCCACTGGCCCGTCCACAGTTCTCCACCACACCCTTCTAACTGTAGGCCCATTCTCATCTTTGGGGACTAAAGTTCAGGTGGACAGCATGCTTGTTCACTTTCACGTCCGGTAGCCTGCTCCTTTGTGCAACCCCGAGAACTCGGGGGCTGTTGGCTACTACTGCCGTTTCTACTGCTTTTACAGGTGATTTTATCTTGCCCCAAGGTCTCTTTCTGGTTCTTGTACTTCACTCCTTGTATGTGATACGGCTAACCAATGCCACTTTCTTCATTTATTATTCCTTGGTGTGCTGGTTTTTGGCTTGGGTTTCTCTCCACAGCTTCTCCACCTCACTTGACCTGAGTTACCCTTTTATTTTTTTTAATTTTATTTTTTTTTTAATATGGAAGCTTCACGGATTTGCCTGTCATCCTTGCGCAAGGGCCGTGCTAACCTTCTCTGAATCGTTCCAACGCTAGTCCATGTGCTGCTGCAGTGAGAACCCTATTAGCCTTTTAGTATTCTCGGTCTCCTGGGGTCACATCCACAGCCACCTCTGCAAACTGGCTCTTGTACTGAAAGGGTCCCCTCATCCTTGCTGGGATACAGATTCTCACATGGTCCCCCAGCCTGAATCCAATGATGAAAACAGAATCTACCACCTTCCTCACCGAATGGCACCCTCGCCCACTAAGCTTCAGCCAAAGCTCAAAACCAGGAGATCTTTTGTCATTCACAGTTGTCTGAGTAGTGCCAGTTTCCCCTAGGATTCTAAACCATGGCAGACTAATTCTCTTTCCTTTTCTTGGCATTTGAGGACACCCAGCAGACCACATAGCTGCTTCACCTTGTAGCTGGCTTATCTTTGTGTCAAAAAAGGGTCTGGCTAACAGGGCAATGAAGGCGTTAGGTGGAAGCACTGGACTCTGTCCTCAGCCCTGTCCTTGTCTTTTCGTAAAAAAATCAACACAGTCCTCCTGAAATCAGTGGGTGATACCCACCTCCCCTTTCATTAGCACATAACATGCCTGTGTCTTCTCCACTCCACTCACCCAGGGACGTTCACCCAAAATAAACAGTAGGATCAAGCATGTTGTCAGCATGAAAACTCATAAATGAAGTAAAAGATGTACTGTTTTTGTCTGAGAAAGAACCGCATGGGAGATACAGACGGCAGCTTCAGACCGGGCCATCTTGCTCAAGGGAGTGGTCCGTCTTAGCACTTTCATCACCATGACCACAAACACCGTCAAAGTAAGGGCAGGGGTGTGTGTGGGCACAAGCTAAGCTTTGGGGACCACAGTCAAGGCTCTCGTACCTGCCCAGGCAAAGGAGAGAGGTGCTGACAGGTGCACGAGAAGGACCAGGTGGCGACGGCAGGGAGAGCTGGGAAAGGCAGGACGATGGGCTTTACTCCAAACATCTTCACCTCTCACCCCCCACTTGCCTCCACCACAGCCAATTTCTGGGTTTTCATCACTGTTCTGCTGAGCCAGTGGTTCTCAAAGTGTGGCCTCTTGACTGGCAGCAGCAGCCTACCCAGGAAGGCGTCCAAGACACAAATTCTTGGGCTCTACTCCAGACATAGTGACTGAGAAACCCAGGGGCGAGGGGCCCTAGCAACTGGCGCTTTACACGCAGCCTTCCAGGTGATTCTGAGGCACAAGAAAGTCTGAGAACCACCAAACTGAGTGTTCTTCCTACTCGAAGAGCCACCAGTGAGCTATGAAGCCAACCCCATTGTATATTTATAGGACCAGGGTCTACTGCAGGTAAAATTACCCTCAGGCCAAAAAAACAATGTCATTAAAAGTTACGATCTTCCCCCTCTTTCCACTCAGTCCCAGCAATGGCTGGGATACAACCCTTAAAGAGCCCCCTTAAAGAGTCATCCCCAACTCCCTAACAGAACTAGAATCATAAGAAGCGTTTTCAGCAAAGGTCTTACTTTTTGTCTGTGGGTGTGATGCTGCCATTCACTGCTGTGCTGTCTGCTGCCTGGATGGAGGTGGACCCGGTTTCCTAGGGAAAGGAAGCACAAATCATCAGGTCAGTCTGCCCACGGCAAGGGCCCCAGTGGAAGAAAAAAATAGGGTAATATGGAACCTACGTACCTCTTCACATATTTTCAACTTCTTTGTGATTGCTTGGTAACAGACAGCTGGCTAATAAACGAGGGAAAAAAACCATTTATTAAACCGAATGCTTAACTGGTCTTCGTTATACATTGCTTAAGAAGTTTGGCCTAAAATGTGGCATTAACACTGAAAACTTATTTGCTGTTCGACTTTATTGATTTCCAAGTAACACATTAGAAAGTGAACACACATTACCTCATTCAATTATCTACACAACTCTGCAAGGTGCTTTTGCTGCTGATGACATTAAGGATCAGATGTATTAAGTCATGTGCCCAGAATTACAAAGCTAGCCAGTGTAACTAGGCTTGGAACCCACATCTGTCCAACTCCAAAGCCGTAGCCTATCAGGTCCCATCAAGACTCAGCCTAACTCATGGCCTTGCAGATACTCTGGGAAGCTTTCCCTCCACAACCCAATGGTCCAGAGAGATGGTCTCCCCAGTTAAACCTGAGAATGTGCCCACCCAACAGTGTGGGCTACCTGACGGGTGCTGACAGTTCATGAGGTCTGGCTTCTGCCCTAGACTCTGAAGGTAACCACAAATGTCTCAACCACACAGCTGCTGAGTCTTAAATGCTTTTTTTTATTTTTTGGTTTACTTTTAATTTTAATAACACCTAATTCATGAGTGAGTCTCTATGTGACTTTTTAACTCGTTGCTCTGGGCAGTGGTACAGGCAGAACCTGACTTTTCAGATTAGTAGGGAGCCGTGGAGCCACATTGTCCCCTCAGGCCAGCCCCTGACCAAGGATCAAGAATGTCAAAGGTCAACTCACCTTCTCAGTTTGGCTGAGCAGGAAATGATGGAAATGAGGGTCTGCATCTTTCACAGGCTAAAACCAGAAAATGATGAAATAAAACAAGTTATTTCCCACCAGAGATCACCTTGCATGGTTAACTGCCTGGTAACTTGACTCTTCTCTGGCTGAAACCCCTTCGGGAACTGGTCTCGACTATACGATGGCCTGGAAGCACTTTCCCACTGTTGGTTAAAGCCATTTTACAAAGGACCCCTGTTTCAGCTAGAGGGAAACTGACTATAAGTGGAAAAGGAGAGACAATTCTGTCAGGATGGTATACAAATTATTCCAGTAGCACTGTAGGAAAATATTTGAGAGGCACAATGCTATTTTTAAAACAGCATTCACCAGTCCCTTTGGATAACCCAGCATACAGGGCCAAATCAATTCTCAGGACTCTTCCAATTTTAGGGTTTCAGCCTACTTGTGTCTGGTGCCAGCCCCTCGAGTGTCTCGTCTCACGGAGGATCAATATAAACAGAAACACAGTGGCAACGAGTGCAGGCCTTTCAAGGGCTTTTTCACAATTAGGCTCAACAGGAGATGAGGGCATCCTTTCCAAGGATGAAACAATGTGCAGCTACTGAATAGCAGAGTTGCAGTGAAAGATTGTCTATAAAGCATCAAGTGAAAAAAATTTGTGGGCCAATCTCACATTTGTTAAAACCAACCCTATTTCCAACAATAAAAACCCCATGTGGGTCTGTAATTCTATAAATGATGGCTGAGTTGGGGGGGTGTACTAAAGGGTCTGGAAGAAGTTGCATCAAACCTGACAGTGAGCACCCCCGAGGGTGGAGACTTGCAATTTCCCCATCATACACCTCGCAACTGTCTGGCCATTTAAAAAAGGGGGAAAGGACAAGTGCCTCACACAGGTCAGGAAACTAGCTTGGAGGCCAGGCTTATCTTGGCCTGTGGGTGGGGGGGTTGGGGGGGGTGGGGTGTTACCTCGCTCACAGTTGGCTGCCATTTAAACGCGGCCATCGGTCCAGCCATCACCCCCTTCACGGTACTAGACTCAGGGATGGTGAGATCCTACAGAGGGAAAGGCAGACGGTCAAGACACCGTGGCAACCTCAGTAGATGTCTTCCTGCCCCAATTGGGAAGCACTTCTTCACTGCTCTGCTTCCTTTAGTCACATGCCACCTTAAACTAAACCCCTACCCAGCTCCATGGTCTCAGCGTCAGTCCCCAGGCACGGTTCTGACTGTCCATTGCAGGGAACCAGGCAAGTTCCCAACGACAGGGAGTGAGCCTTTCTTCTCTGTTGAGATAACAAAATATCTTCTTGTGCCCAAGTTTCACGAGGATAGATATCACTGGAAAACTCAACTATGGTGTGCAGTGTTATCAGCAAGTCACAGGGAAGATTTCCTTATGGCCAGTAACGAACATTCAGAAAACAGTACCAGCTTTAGAAGGAATCCACTGCATCTCGAAAAGACTGAGAAAACCACATGGTGCTGATGAGGAAATGTGCCCAACGTTTTAGCTACAAAATGACAAAGCCAGACTTCAAATCCAGGGCAACTGGGGGCCAAGAGTTCCACTCCTTCCCCAGGCTGATGCAAAGGCAGGACCCAGTGGAATGGGGTGCGCCCCCTCAACCAACAGTCTGGCCCACATTCATCCTGGGCAGAGGTGCTGCTTCAGCTTCACACCTGCTGTGCTCTCATCCTTTCCACCACTGAGTTTACCTCACACTCACTTTCCACATGTGTGATCTTCCGGCCACAGTGGCCCCCTGACATTTCTACTTGGTATCTAATGGGATTCTTGGCCTGCTGAATTCTGGATCTCCTGCCCAAGCAGCTCCTTACAATGTCTTCGCAATCTTAGAAAAGCAGCTCCGTTCTATCAGGCTGAGATCTTTGTACTCCTTCTTGATCCTGCCTCCTCTTTCCTCTTATCTCTTGGCAACGATTATGGCTTTACAATTGGGGATCTGCAACCCCTCCTTACTGCCCCACTGCTTACACCCACGCTCAGGCCGCCATCACCTGTCACTTGGACAGCAGCAAAACGGATCTCTCTGCTGCTGGTCTGAAACCCTGCAGTGTGGACTGTACACAGCAGCCAGAATGAAGCATGTCACTCCTCTGCCGAAAACCGACGTCTGGTCTCACACAGTCAGGCTAAAAGCTTTATTACCATGGGGCGCTACAAGTCTTACAACCCCACTCCACACTAATCCCTGACCTCGTGTCGTATTATTTTCTACCCCCTCACCACTTTCCAACTCACTGGCACCTCCTTGGCCTGCTACCCATTCTCGAAACACACCAAGCATATGCCTGCCCCGGTACCTTTGCACTACTGGGAATGCCCAGTAGTTCCAACAGTTATGTGCTTGGCTCACATGTTCACTTTAGATTTCTGCTGAAGTGTCACCTTATCGGGATGCTTTCCCTGACCTCTCTGTCTTCCCCCATTAGAACATGATGCTGATGTGTTTATGAGTAAATTCTATGAAAGCAAGACCTTTTCCAATTTTGTTTACCTTGTACCCCTCGCTGGGAGCCATGTCTGGCAGAGAGAAGATGTTCACTGTGGAAGAAGTGAACAAGAGAGAGGCCTTGTCTAACTGTCATGCTGCTTTATCTCTAGACACCTGGCCTGTGGTGGAGCTGCACAACATCTGCTGAATGAAGAGCTCTGGGGAAAAAAGAGGCCTAGTGCAATACTGTCCAAAGAAAGTGCCACCGTGATGGACACGTTCCACGTCTGTCCCCTGTGGGTAGGGGCAACACAGCTCCAGTGACCTGCCTCAGGCCCCAGAAGGACGGTGAGGTGGAGCGCACTGACTCTCTACCTGGCACCAACCAGAGGCCCCGACTCCCAAATCATCACTCTCTGCACTACTCAGGAATTTTAGGAGCCACAGGACTGACGGTTCTGCCAGGCTCGTGTGTGCCTAGAGCTGCAGTTTTACTTCTCGGCTCAGGACTCAGAAATAAGAGCCCCTGAGAGAGGAGAGAGCACACCTCTCATGCCAGAGTCTAGGCATGAACCCAGCCTTCCCCTGTGTGCACGTAACTGACACCTCCACCGTCAAGGTCAGCCTTTTCCACTAATCCTCATGGGGCAGGGGATTACGGCTCAGAACAGCCAACATCCAGGGCTTTGCCCAGTTATCAGCCTAGGCTACTGCTGTTTCAGAAACAAGTCTGACAGCCAAATGACAAGTGTGTAGCAACACACACTCTTTTTTAAACTATAAGACCTATTAGATCAGAAGATGTACCAAAATTCCAAGCCCATTTTCTCTACATCCCTGAAGGTGCTTGATTAAGACCAACAGTCCCAACTAAAACAGCTGTGTCTGCCCTGCACCATTAGCCATGGCTCCTTCCTCTCCAGGCTGACAAACCCTTTACTAGAGGCTGGGCCAAGCAAGGAAGCTGCAGAAAGGACTCTGCTAAAGGTAAATAGTAGGCAGAGCCCTTGGCTGAGGACCTGGCTCGGAGAACAGCCAGCAGCAGTGTTACTACCCCTGATTAATAATTCAGACTCAAGGGCAAACTGCTCTTCCCTGGGAGCCTGTGAGAAGAGTCTCTGCAGTAAGCCAGCCGTGGCCTCTGGTTCAGCTAAAACCACTATGCTCTCACTGTACAACGGGCCACTGACAAAGGTAAAGCTGGTGACCAAATGTGAGTGCACTGCACACGGTCCTCTAGGTGCTCTGCTCTTTTTTGCTCATTTCCTTCTTATAACAAAGTGGGGGGAAGGGTATCATGATCAGACCAGGAAAGCAAAGCAAAGGTAGCTGGCCAAGGTCACACAGCGGCACCAGTTAGAGTCACAGCTCTGACTCAAGGCCAGCCTGAGACCTCCTCCTAACCTCTCCTGTACACTTGCCTTGATCCAAAGAGAAGTTGTTTCTGTCCGGGGCTAGCACAGGAATTGGCAGGCTCCATAGCTTTAGAAAGCAGAAAACAGGAATTCGGAGAACAGTATAAAACCCGACAGTTCAGATTCCTCTGGATCCCCAGGAAATCAATCTAATTGGACCAAATTAGATCACACCCCCTAAAAAGTTCTTCATGCACCACAGCTAGCTTCCTAAACCTTCTCCACCTTTGGCTGGTGGTTCCCTGTGCTCACCGTCAGCCAGGGCTGGCACAACCGCCAGTCACTCTCTCTACTCTCAATCACAGGTTATTTGACAGCAAGAAGCACCCTGTGTGATGCAGAGGTCACCGAGTAGCAGCCCACAGGCTCAGTCTAGCCCCGAGATGTTCCTTTGGACCTAAATGTATTTTAAAATTTTAAACTGGTTTGTAACATGTAAAACTGGAATGTTTCACATAAAAATCTGTATTTTCAGCTTCTCTTGAGAAAAAGCAGACAATTTGGCAAAAGTTGGCTGGAACCCCATGGATGGAGCATGACCTCCCCAGAGAGCCAGCTGCCACACCTCATGCTCTCAGCACGGAGGCAGATTGGGGATGTGGACCCTCTGCCAGCTCCCCTTGCTTCCTTCTATTACCTGTCTGGTCTCGCTGGTGTCTGAATTTGCATGCCTTGATCTGATGATGTCTGGTGTTTCATCATGGCCTTATCACCCAACTGTTTCTGCCAGACATCTGGCTCTTGTCCCCTCGACTGTGCTCTAACAATCCTCCCCTGTGTTTTGACAGACTACCTCCTCCATCTCGAATTCTCTTCCCTTGGCTTTCAAGACTTGACCCAAATCTTTTCAGGAAGGTGGAAGGTACATTATTTCTGTTTCACTTCAGTATGAGGCTCCTCCGACCCCTCGCAACTCTGACCTATGGACAATCTCACTGCAAAGCAGACTTCTGTCCTTCTCTCCTTACTTTCCTTGAAGACAGATCCTGCCAGGTCTCACCAATACACACCTACATATTCACCTTCCACATCTGTGTTCCATCCTGACATTACTCCAGGGTTCCTCGACGGTCTCAGCATCATCTCTGATTCGTAACACTCAAAACAGAACCAAGTCCTCTTGCTCTAAGAGCCAGCCCTACTCCTGACTCTTCTGCTCTTGAGAAGGGCATCACCATTTCCCAGGCAAACACCTGAAATCCTTTCCCATTCCCTTTCCTCACCTATGTATCCGGTTGCTAAATCTTATGAGTCCTTCCTCTTAAGTGCCTCTCAGGCAGTTCTTTTCAGTATTTGCTATCAAGATAGCTCTTGATAAATGCACACCTGGGTTTAACTTTCCAACCGGCTTTAGCCTTTCTTCTCTGGCCTCCACCACTGCTAACACACAGCCTGGAGCATGCTGCCACACTGACACCCAGCTCAGACACGTTCATGGCCCCCTGATTCCATGACAGTAACTACTGCTTTAGTAGACCTCAAGGCCCTCCACAATCCAGGGACAACCCACTTTTATCTCTCTGCTCTCTCCCCTGTCCTGTACCTATAATGAGAATATCCACACCAACATCAAGCCCCATGTGGGCTATGCCCTTTGACTCTGGAATGACTTCCCCTCTTTCTTCCTAAGCCCCGTCCAGTGCCAGCCCTTGCAGGCTGGCTGAGGTGGACTGTTCTCCTGCCTTGACCGCCTGGTTGAATGCGACACCTTTCGCTGACTTTTGCGCGTATTTCACGCCTGTGCATCCAGGCTGTGTCCCTCCCCTGGTCTGCAGGACTCTTTAGGGCAGCACTTAGCATGGGTCTCTGTGTCCACTCAGTGAGCTGAGGCACACTGTGGAGCTCAACTCTGCCACAGACAGAAGGAAGTCACTAATCCCAGAAGCTGCAGAAATAAAACAAACCTTCTCATCCTTTGGGGGCCGACCCCGTTTCCGGGGACTCTGCTCTTGGGCTCTTTTCAGAGGGGACTTGGAGCCTCTCTCTGAAGAGCCTGAAGACACCCTCTTCTTTCCTTCTCCCATGTTCTTCTTCACCTTCCCTTCAGACAGGCTAAGCTTCCGCTTCTCATCACCTGAGTTTGGCCTACTTCTCTCCTCACTGGAATTACGCCGATTCTTGTCATCAGCAGAATTGTGGGACGATGTCTGAAAGTTTAATAATAATCATGATAGCCACCCAAGCAGCCACTGCCATCACCACTGCCATTTACACCAGCCACACCTTATGAGAAGCACTTTACATGGGCTATCCGCACAACTATCCTACGAAATAGATTCTGCTATTGCTCCCATTGATATTTGGAGAAGCAGATAAAAAAATCGTATCACTTGCCTATAGTCCCAAAGCTAAGTGGGATTTACACCCAGGCAGTGGATATATCCTAGAAGCTAAGCCCTAATCTTTAGGATATAAAAGAAGAGAGAAATGGCTTAAAATACTTAAAAGCTGAGATTCTTCTCCTGAGTCCAAGTGACTTTCCTAAAAGCAGCAATCTATTTCAGAAAACTCAGCCGCATGCATGGAGTTTCAAGGTGATTGGCAAAACAAGGATACCTTAGAAACAAAGTGGTGTTCTCTCCACTGGCGTTTCGTAAGAATAGAGCTTTGGGTTTGGGCAACAGTTAATCTGTCAGTTACTATGCCAAAACAACCAGTCTGATGTTGGCATAAAGCGAGAATCAGTCTCTCACCTGGTCTTTCCCTTTGGCTCTCCGGAGGAACTCTTCAACGGCATCCACAGCTTGCTGGAACCGTTTTCCCTTGTTAATCTTTATCATTTCCTCCTTGTGCGCATGGTATGGCTTTAGCTGTTCCACTTTGATCCAGGCACTAGCAGAAAACACACACAGAAAGCATATGATCCACAATGCCTATGCCAGAAAGTATCAAATACCTCATCTCAACAGAATGCAGATATCGGTTTGGTTTAACTGGACTTTGAAACAGGCCTGCCATTTTTTTTAAAAACAAGTTATCGACCACCCCAAACTCTTGGGGTGTTATAAAAGCAAGTTTCCTGAAACAAGTCAAGCACAACCACCACCACAAACAAAACCAGAACATCCTCCACACAAAACTGCAGGTAATTTATGTGCACTCTTGTTCACCAGCCTACCACACTGAACCACACACTGCCTGCCACTGGTGGAGGGCAGAGGTGGCCCGGAGATGTTCTTCCATTCTCATCACAGAGCATCAGGAAGCAATATCAACCACAGCGACACCACCACCCAGTCGACACTCACACCAGAACGACAACCTGCCAATCATCTGAGAATCAGCGATGCTCCCAAGGGTAAAGAAATGCAGCATCTGGAATTTGCTGCTCTTACAGGTACCTGTTCATAAATGACAGTGTCCGTGGCTGCTAAACCACACAAAATGTGTGACATGTGATTTGGAATGAGGGCAGCATTCGTAACAAGAGGTCTTTAGAGACCAGATTTTGCTCGTGATTAAAGGCAGAACATACCCTTATGATATTTAATTTTTAATTCCCACCATCAACATAAAGCACATGAAAGTAAAAAAGCCATCTATCGTCACTTCTGGAATATCTAGCCTGCCACACTAACCTGAACAAATCTGTCCCAGCTGGCTTTCCTGTGGTTTCCCTAGATGACATTCAGCTTCCAAGCACAAACGAAATGATTTTTATGGGCTTGGCGAGGTAACAGTAACTTAAATGTTTCTTCTGTGTAATGCTCATAGGTTTCATGGTATAACCTTCTGAAAAAGTAGGTTGGGTTAAGGAAAACTGAGCTATCACTCTTAGGGGCCACTCCTTTACCAAAAGCTAGAGAATATTCACTAGTAACAGTAAAAGGGCTACCTCTGTACATAAAAATAGTGTGACCAACACACCAACAGCCACCTATGCTTTGAGGGTCATGTTAATAACTGTGACAATAGACCTGTACAAACACAATAGCTGTCGGGCCATCAGCCTGCAAATATGGCAGCAAATCAGGACTAAGCAGGATATCTATGGCCAAACCCACAGAGAATGGAACGATAAACAAGGACTCAGACATGGTCTTGCTGTATAGAGCTCCAACCAGGTGAGATAAGCAGATACCTTCCAGTGACCAACTCAACTTAAAGTCTGAAAGTTGACATGATAGAGCCAATTGGTCTAAACTATGGGGAGGAAAAATGGAATTAAATTTTGCCCTTACTTTACCTGGCAAATAAACCAGGGTCTATTCAAGACCCTCCTGCTTCTCCCCCCTTTTAGGGTTTCTAAGGATAGAGCAGATGCAAAGCCAGACAAGCCCTGAAAAGCAGGTTAAACTGTCATACTGAGATGACACAAATGTCAGTGATAAGCTTAAAGAGCCTCTGGGCTCTGGACATGCCTCTTCCTTCTCCAAGCCTCAGGTTAGAAGCTGAGACCTACACAAGTTCCGATGTAAGACCAATGGGGTGGTTTTTATGGAGCCCCTTGAGATAAGACAGTATGCTCCAGGCATCCTAATCCCTGCCTCCCTCTACCCCACATGAACCTCCAATTCACAGAAATGGAGAGGTAAGGACATCTGGAGGAAGCACCAATAACCTATGCCTATTTTTTTCATTGAAGCATTTTAAGTGGATTACTGATTTCTGCCAGAATGGTATGGTGAAAATTCCATTCCTCCTGAAGACTGGCATTTGAACACTAAAATGAAAATTTCCTGACCATTTTTGAAAGTGAAAATGGTCTGCTAAATGAATGGAGAGTATAAACATGACTTCAAGAAAATAAATGCAAGAAATATTAATCTAGTTAAGAAATTAGTGTGTTGTTGAAGCGTTGTGTCCCATCAGAGAAACCGTAAATAAAACTCCAGCTCACCCGAGCCCTACGAGGATTACCTCTTGAAAGCAAGCCAAATTGAAATCACTTTAGTCATCTGAATAGAGTTTTTTCTCTAAAGGCTGTATTGCAAAACCCTCTCTCCTTAAAGAGTATGCTTTTCAGCTGGAACTTCAATAATGTGCCATTCTCCAATACACTGAGGCCCATCAGCTGGGCTTGGCATGCAACTGGTGCTCAAGAAATAATCCCTGAGGAAATGATGCCTTCCTGGCACATTCAGAGGGGCTGAAACGCTGGCCTCTTGGTTAAATGTTGTCAGGCTTTGGTGGCCCTTTGTGGTTGTTGCTGCTGTCTGTACGTATTTGTTTATTATTATTTTTCATGTTTATTTATTTTTGAGAGAGGGAGGGGAAGGGCAGAGAGAGGGGAGAGAGAATCCCAAGCAGGTTCTGTGCTTTCAGCATCGAGCCTGATGTGGGCCTCAAACTCATGAACCGCAAGATCATGACCTGAGCCAAAATCAAGAGTCGGAGGCTTAACTGACTGAGCCACCCAGGTGCCCGTTTATTTTTAAGAGACTTCTCTTTCTGTGACATAAGCTATGACTTGTGATTTCTTTCCCATCATCCTCCCAATGCCTAGATGGAGCAGGACCTTTTCTGCCTGATTTGCTTATAGGCTGAAAGTCAGAAAAATCAAGCTTAGTCAAGTGGTGTGTCAAGTACAGGCCTTCGCTTTTTATATACAAAGAAGTTAATTACGTTGTTTGTAGCGGCAATCAATGAGGTCATTACTAAGAACAAAACAGAAAGTCTCTTAAGACATGCGGCTAAGTGGAAAAACCAAGGGGCACAGCACTGTGTGTAGTATGCTATCACTTACGTAAAAATAAGGAAAAAGGAATCTGTAACCTCTTGATTCTGCACACAGTACTTCTGGAGGGACATGCCATAAGAAACTAGTATAACTGGATGCTCACAGGCTGATAACTGGGTGGCTGAGGGATGGAGATGAATGGAACCCTTTCACAGTTTATAGCTCGATTTTGCGGGGGAACCATAAACATGTATTATCTTTTTTTTTTTTAAGTTTATTTATTTTGAGAGAGAGAGAGAGATGGAGAGAGAGAATCCCAAGCAGGCTCTGCACCAGCAGCACAGAGCCCGACACGGGGCTTGAACTCAGGAACTGTGACAGCATGACCTGAGCCAAAACCAAAAGTCAGACGCATAACAGACTTAGCCACCCAGTCTCCCTAAACATGTATTACCTTAAAAAAACAAATCAATAATAAAGGTCACTACTATAAAATATTTGCTACTCTACTCAGGGGGTTTCCCCCACGATTTCCTTGTTTGTAGGTTTGCTCAGGTAGGTAGCTACTGCCTGGTTGCAGGTGTAACTGTCACTGTACCTGTACCACGGCCAGGAGCAGCAAACCTACCCTGGTATTCTGATACGCCTCCTATAAATTCTTTTCATTTGCAAATATAAACCTTCCACTACAAGCCACCCTCAGATTACACGCTCCATTGAAAATGAATTTAAACACCTCACGTTTTCAAAAACTTCTGTAATTCTGACCTGCTTTACTCTTAAGTTAAAATCACATCATGTAGATATCACATTAAACATGTTGCTCTAGGACCAATCTCCAAAACTCTCACATATGTGTCTCAGACTTTGCAAGACACGATGACTTGGGTGGAAGTAGGGTGGAGAGAGAGAACAGGTACATGGCGAGCACAGTCCAAGGTGAGAACAAAGATGGGGTCAGAAGACGTGGGTCTGCTTCTCCATCTGGTTGGGTGTGTAGTACCGAAAAACCAGTTCTGTGCTTTCCCCCCAAACACCTTACACCAATGAAAGAGGCTGAGGGTGACTGGTAGCTGTTACAGGTCCAAGCCTAAGTTGCTCCGAAATCACAAAGAAAGCAAACAAACAAAAAAAACCCCACAAAGAAAGTTAGAGCTCCTCAGTTAATTTCAAGTAACGCTTATCATACAAACATCAACAAAGACTTGCAGATAAGACAGATTTAGAAGATTCTGTTTTCAAACCTTGACAACATTCCCAAATGCTAGATGAGGCTTTCAAGCTGCGCTGCCCATGCCAGTATGGCCAGATGCTTCTTTTGTGCCAGACTCTTTAATTCTGGTGCATGACACCTGCTCCTGGAGTCGACTGTCTCAGCCACGAAGGGAGTCACCTGCAGGATGGATGCTGGTGCTGGGAGAGGAAAATCTACTCAATGCTCTCTAGGATAGGGACTGTCCAGCCCTGGCAGAGGGACAGTGCTGGCTCAGTCCAAGTGATACCCGGAGCAGAGCACTCACTATCCTCTTGGCTCCGTTCTCCAACTATGACACAGTGTTGGATGTAGGGAAAGTGGGCCAATCAGGTGCCAGGCGAAAAGAAAAAGGGATGCTCAAATAGTTCCAATATGCTATGCTTTTAATGACCAGCTACGGGTTTTTCTCCAAAACTTACTTTCATACTCACACACTTCATACCTTATATCTGGCTTGATGTAAAAAGTACCTCAAGTTGGGATCCTGGACATCTTATCACTTAACTCCACAAATGTCCTGCCTCTCAGTATCTATGTTTGTTAAAAAGAGAGAACCAGAACAAATATCCTATTCATTTCTTGAAAGGGCTGTTGTAGGTTCAGATACGAAAACTGCCACAGAAACTCACAGGTGGTCATTTGGGATCTACCCACTTTTGCTGGCAGTATTCTCCTGAACTGTTTGTTTCTGGGGGTTTTTGAGTACCCACAAACTAAATGAGCTCCCTCCATTCTGCCATCCATGGCGGCTGATGGAATTTTTAAACCCTGAGCTCGGTTTCTATTTTGATGGACAACCATCTGTCCAGGGTGGGCCTCATAGGCCTGAGACTTCATCTTTGGGAGTGGTCACCTGGTGGAGTTGTCAACGTTAATGCTGAAGGGATTCCTCCTTCTGTATTTCCGTGAAACAGAAAGCGACCACAGGTAATTCCCATAGTGGCCATCCAGGCTCAGAGAGCTGAATCTACCATCTTACTAAGTCCTTCCCCTTACGGGGAGGCTGGTCAGGAAGGTCTGGTCCTCTCTTTCTAAAGGCATGTCAACACAATTTGTTAGATGTTTTGACAGAAGCAGGGAGAGAGAGAAATTAGTTTTCTAAAAGATTGAAATCTTGGTTTAAGGGGCTACCCTTCTTACTCTTTAATAAAAATCCTTGCTAGCTAATATAAAAAAAAAAAAAAACAAACAACCTTATCCATGAATATTTTTTCCCATATGTAGTATGTCAGTTTTGAAACTGAACATCGCTGACTGAATCCTATTACTCTTTAGGAATTTAGGAACAGCACCATGGGGTCAGACCCTATCCACCAAAGTCAGGCCCAGGAACCAACAGAATCTCTAGCCCAGGTTGTGCCAGGAGAATATGGACCTCTCCCTGACATCAAGCATTAAAGGTGAGGTAGATAGAGCCCAATTTCTTCTGGAGCCACTTATGGCCCTGCCCTGTACAAAGCAGTTCTCATCTCTAAAAATCCACTCGTACTTCCTGTCTAAACCACTTCTCAAATGTCTGTTTCCAACAGCGCTCCTTATGCATGCCCTAAACACAAGTCACCACAACACTTGTTCTGCTCACACTGCCCTTTGTTGAAATGTCTGATGATTGATGAACACAACAGGGTTTACCTCCTTAAGGCCATTCATCATTTGATCAATTCTGATTGTGCTCTTTTTCAGACTTTGCTTTTTCGAATGAAAGAATCCTACTCTTTGATCTGATTTGGTCCCCTTTTCTGATCTTGATGAGATCCATCAGATCCCTTTGGGAGCAGGGACTGCACTGCACACAGTACTCCTGGCAAGGCAAACTTACTGTTTTGTGCTCGAAGCCTTTTGACCAAAAGAGGAGACCTGGCTGAAGTCCTTAGGAATTTCCAACTCTTAGATGCCTTTCTTTTCAAATAGATTCTCTCTCAGTTAAGTTTCCCTTACTTAAAGCCACCCACTTTTTACCAGCTTGTCTCTTGTAACACATCTCTACCCTGACCTGAAGTTTACTAAACACTTGCCGTATGCCAAACCACACTATGAGCAAGTGCCGCTCCTTCTCCTTCGTGACTGCAAGGTAGGTAGCATCACCCCCACGTGTGGGCAAGGACACAAAGGCTTGGAAAGGTGAAAAGAGCTTGCCCAAATTGTAGGGCAGGTACAACTGGCATGTGAAGGCAGAGTAGGCCAGCATCAAATCCAAACTCCAAATACTTTCCCCAAAGTAATTCCCTGGTACCCAATGGTCTGGACACTTCACCTTCAGATAACGTAAAGACACTAAATAACATTTGCTGATCACTGATCACTAAGAACCCTTCTCCCTTCAAAAGTGCTTGGAGATCCTTACCCTTTGTTTCCTTTCATTGTCAACCGTCTGGCCACAAAAAGGTAACATGTTAGCCTGTGGTAACATAGTTTTTAAATACCACTTTAAAAAATAACAACAAAAAAAATTTATTTTGAGATAGAGGCTCACAGAAAGAGAGGGAGACAATCCCAAGCAGGCTCCACGCTGTCAGCACAGAGCCCAACACAGGGCTTGAACTCACAAATTGTGACATCATGACCTGAGCCGAAATCAAGAGTCAGATGCTTAACTGCCTGAGCCATCCAGGTGCCCCTTTTACGCGAATTCTACCAAGGGAGTCTGAAAAGCTTAAAGATATTATAGCTAAGTTGCCCCAAATCCACTTGCTCATGAATCCCCTCAAAACACTTTAGTTCGAAATCATATCATCTCCACCACTACTAACACCGTTAGATTATTTTTGTGTTTGGTAAGTGTATCCTTCTCACTGGCTTCACTTGTATACCTGGTTAAGTGCTGAAATACACTCAACTTCAATTTTGTCTTATCTGTAGTGTTTGTTATACAGAAATATCAGGTTATTCTTCTGACCTTCCAACATTTTAAAAATTGTAAGAACACAAAGGCTTTCGAGCCTCTTGTAATTTCATCAAGCCCCCACTTTCCATGAGTTTCCACTTTTGTTCTAGACTTGTGTGCATCTTCGTTTAGCTAACCAATTGGACCAACCATACTGCCTCGGTTATTCTCAAGTACCGTTCTTCACTCCAGGTGGGGGCCTCCCTCTGCCCACACATCCGATTTAATACCCAGTTGTTCATGGTCTTCCCACTGCCTGCAATGCCTGACTTCTTGCCTATTTCAGTTCTATCCATCCTCCATACGTGGATTCTAATCCCATCTCTTCCATCAGCCTTCATTGACCTGCCTGTTCTCCACTACTCTTTCCTTGTTCTAGAACGCTTTAATAATCAATCACCCATATCACTCATTCTGCACGTATTCCCATCTGAAATGTTTATGTCTTGTTTCTTAAGTTCCTGAAAAGCAAGCGCCACAACATTCACTTTTCTCCAGAAGTTCCCTTCAGTGTCAGAAACTCAAATTTGCTAAGAGAACAATTAGCACTTGTTTTATGCATCAGGACAATCTTTCTCGTCAACTCAATAGCATTACCAGAACATTCCTGCTTGCAGAGTGTCTCTGGCTCTCACAGCTCTGGGCCAGTGACTCCCTTAAAATATTGTCATCAAAAGGTTAAGTTGTTTTGTGACAGAAAACAGGGGCTGAATATATGCATAGATCTGCATGGTGAAGGTATACATACCATTTAAACTCTCAACTGGGATAAGCACCCAGCATATAAACTCCAGAAAGAGTAACACTTTATAAGAGATTTTGCTATAGAATATCATATATTGCTTTGTAGGAATGTATATTTTAACCACTGGTATTAGATTCCTTAGGTCATACACACACACACACACACACACACACACACACACACACACACACACATTTTTCAAAGCCAAAGCTAAACTTTTCTCTAAGAATCTTAACTGGAAATACAGCTACTTAAATCAAACCATCTATAATGAGAATTATATTATAATGGAACTCAAGTTCCATTTTCCCCCTCACTGTGACCTCTACTGCCTATCAAAGAATCTCAAAAGAATGGTCCTGATTCCAACTCTAGGACAGATCTGGTTAGAAAAGCTCTACTGCTACAATATTAGAGAAAGTCATCTAGTTTTACAAATGAGAACAGAATTAAACAATTACTCCTCTTAGAATAAACAAGATTTTAGTTTCCAGTGTATACCTCATACATGAACCACAATGATAAACAGCCATTAAAAGAGAACCAAACGTGGCCCTTATAAAAGGAACTGCCTACGGAGTTGGATAAAAAGATGTGAAAAATTATCTTATTGTGATTACCATATTAAGAAGATGGTGAATGCTATTTCTCACTTGACTGACATTGTTATTGGCCCCAGAACAATTTCTATGAGCTAAGAATAGCATCTTTTATTTAGGTATTTAGGTATGAAGCCAGAACGATATGCCATTCTGACAGACTACGGTAAAAATGAACTAGGGTCCCTAGAATATTCCTGCAAGTAGCTCAGATCCAGGATAATGCCCAAAAGGAAAGTGAAACTCTTGATAAGCACTACTCACTGATCTTCTGTTCCAAAAAACTTCACAAAGAAGCATTTCTTTCCACGTGGTTTCTTCAAGTCTTTGGGTGGATTAACAATCTGGGGAGTAAAAGGGAGGAAAAAAAGGTTTTTCCATACCTCTAAGTTGGTAAGAAGAAAAATGAAATACAAGAAAAGGAATATGCTTGAAAAGAACCCAGGGCCTAGTGCATGTCCAAATCTGGCACTTATCTACTCAGATGTATGGAAATGTGCAAATATTCTAGGAACTTCTAGAATACATCTACCATGTAGTAGGGTTTGGTAGACAGAAAATCCCTTTCACTGCAATGGCCCTGTTTTAAAAGCAGTTAAAGCTAACATCAATGTCAACTCCCCCAACCATGTGACCCTTAAATCACTGAAGAAATGCAGAGAACGTTCTTAAAAACACTTCCGTGAAGTAATAACGTCAAGTGATGATTACACTTCTCATGGTAAGCATCGGGTATAGAATTGTTGAATCAATACTTCGTACACCTGAAACTATTGTAACGTTGTATATCAATTATGCTTCAAAAAATAAAAATAAAAAAGCCTGTGTAGGAAGAGTTGAGACAGGTAATAATGACAATGAAGGACAACTGAGGCAATGAATATGCCATATTGCAAAGAGATAGTCTAAAGACATTTCCTGGGCTCTTAGCAAGAATATAAAAACAGAACATTTGGAAAGCTATGACGGATCGCCTCATGCAAAATCTGGAATGCCAACTTCTGCAAAGAGGCACTGGAGCAGCACATATGGTAACATGGAAAGAAGATTTAAACTTAGTTGGGACAAAAATACTTTGACTTTTCACTAACCTACATTTAGATTTCTCTCTTCCTGGAGAATTTATTTTCTTCTCCTTTTGTTACATTTAAGTGTAAAGCTAAATTCAAATTAAAACTGATTTCCAGGATTAAAAAACTTCACCAAAACCATCTCTGATTCAAGAGATAAGCATTTACTGCAGATTTAATAACCTGGTTTATATTATATTGCCTTTTCTAAACAATCTGAGAGTAGAAAGAGAAAAACTCTGAGTGTTGATTTAAATAAGTCCAGTTCTGGGGCGCCTGGGTGGCGCAGTCGGTTAAGCGACCAACTTCAACCAGGTCACGATCTCACGGTCCGTGAGTTCGAGCCCCGCGTCGGGCTCTGGGCTGATGGCTCAGAGCCTGGAGCCTGTTTCCGATTCTGTGTCTCCCTCTCTCTCTGCCCCTCCCCCGTTCATGCTCTGTCTCTCTCTGTCCCAAAAATAAATAAACGTTGAAAAAA